GCGGGGGGGGTGGGCATCCGGCGGGTGGGGGGGGGGGGGGGGGGGGAATGGGCATGGGGGTGGAGGCAGATCAGGGCCCCCACACTGAGGGAGGGAGTGGGGCTGGGGTAGGGTAGGTGCTACCCAGCCAGGGTGGTGAATGTGACCCCATTGGGAGAGGGAGAGAGCTGCAGGCAGCTTGTTTGGTGAGGTGGAAAGGAGGGGTGGCTCCCCACCACTGCATGCACCCCTGAGGAAGGCATGGGGGGGCATGTGCCCCCCACAGATCTGTGAGCAGGGTGAGGGAGGGCTGCATGCTGTGGGCTTTGGGCCAGGGGCTGTACCAGCCTCTTCCTGGTGGGGGCTAGGCCGGGGCTGGACTCGGGGGTGGGGCAGGCAGTGGCAGCGCTGGGAGTTGTGGCTACAGCAAATTTTGGGGTGACTATAGCCCACCCGCTAGCCACCCCTCCCAGCACTACTGCTGCCCACCCTGCCCCTGCCTTCCCGAGCCCAGCCCTGGCCCAGGCCCTTCTGGGAAGAGGCTGGTGCATCCCCTGGCCCCAAGCCCACACCAGGCAGCCTGCCTTCATCTCGCCCCAAACCCACACCAGGCAGCCTGCCTTCATCTCACCCCATGCACAAGTCCAGGGGCCACCAGCCCCCCGTGTCTTCCCTGAGGGTGTGTGTAGCGGTGAGGAGCCGCCCACACTCCCCCGCGTCCCCCAGATGAGCCATCTGCAGCTCTGCATTGCTCCTGACAGGGTTGCATTCACCGCCCTGGCTGGGCAGCAGCCTCAGCCTCTGCCCCTGCCCCACTCCCTCCCTTACCATGGGAACCTCAATCTAGGGCCCTCCCCCCATGCCTCTTCCCTCTGCCCACCCCCCAGCAGACTTACCAGCTGGATGCTGCTCTCCAAGCTATCGGGCTGCATGCATGGTGCAGCAGCATTTATCAGTGACATTATTGGCTAAACTGGCTAAAAATAGCCGACTGCCAATAATGTTTATTTTCCCTTTATTGGTGGTGATCTAATATGCAACCAATATATTAGTGCACCTCTAATATTTTATGTTGCTCTCATGAATGGATTATTTGCTGGCTTGCCTCACCTTCTCTAAAATCTTCAAAGACATGCTGATATGTGATCCTACTTTTGGTGAAAGCTTTCCATCAAGTGTTCTGATAAATGAAAGATGCGCCAGGAATGCGGCTAATGGAGCAACAACTCAGCAATTGTAAATAAGTACGTGGTTTCTGTGGCAAGGCATTTTCAGATCATCTTTGTATGTTAAAGAAAGCAACATTGTCTCATAAGCTGTTTGTTCCTTAACACAATGTTTATAGTATGGGATACCTTTCTATCTACAATATCTGGCTCACTGGCCAGAGTATTTCATTGTTGCAGAAGCACCTGGTGGAGAGCTAATGGGCTACAGTGAGTGGCATTTTGAAGTGTGTTTGTGGGGGACAAAACTTGTTGTTTTTAAACTGTACAGATTCCATTGCAATTGAAATTCTTTTGTGCTATAAGTCACATGTTTAGATTCAGCCTCCAGTTGTTCTGAATATTTATACTAAGTAGAAAGTTACATTAGAAGCAGAAGCTTACTTAGATCAGAGGTTTTCAAGCCCCCTGGTGGGTACCCCTTCCGGACAAAGAGTGGAGGGTAGGGGCTAACACAGCCAGATGCAGAGCCGGTGGCATGGGGAGCTTGCATGTGGCCACCACCACTATCTATACATTCCTTGTTGCGGCTGGGCGCCACTTCCCGCCCAGCCATCTTCACGTGCAGCTGGCTGTCAGCACTCCTCATCCCCCAGTGCGGCAGCAGTGCGGGGAGCTTCCACACAGCAGCTGCCCCTGCTGCCATGTATACATTCAGCACCGCCGCCACATGCTGATGGGGGTGCTGATGGCTGGCCAAATGCGAAGCCAGCGGTGCGGAGAAGTGGGGATACTTGGGTGCAGGAAAGCAGCGCCCGGCGGTGGCATAGAGTGACGGATGGTGGTGGTGGCGGCCCTGCCCTGTTTTCCTGTGCCTAAGTATCTCTACTTCGCACTGCTGGCTTTGCGCGTGGCCAGTCGTCAGCATCCCCTCCACCCGTGGTGCATGGCAGTGGCTCTGAGTGTATAGATGGCAGTGGGGGTGGCCACCGTGTGTAAGATCCCCGTGCTGCTGCCGTGCATTGGGGGGAGAGGGTGCAGTCAGCCAGCTGCATGCAAAGCCGGCAGTATGGAGGAGTGGGGATACTTGGGCGCAGGAAAGCAGCATGCAGTGCCTGGTGGCAGTGCCATGGAGTGATGGATAGCAGCAGTGGCCCCACCTCCTGTGCTGCTGCTTTCTAGGTACCCCCACTTTTCTGCACTGTCAGCTTCGCATCCAGGTGGCCGTCAGCAATGCCCCTCTCTCTCCCCCGGCTGGCCTGGGTGCTTGGGCATGGAAAATGGCACATGGTGACAGTGCAGAGTGGTGGATGGCAGTGGCAGCCCCGTCCCCCATGCCATACTTCTCAAGTACTCTGCTTCTCTGCACCACTGTCATATGCTCCCTGGGTCCTTCCCAATTATCTCCAGGGGTATGTGTACCCCTGGTTGACAAGCCCTGACTTAGACTATTCTCTGTGGCCATAGGGCACGATTAGGAGCAATGGCCTCAAATTGCATCGAAGGAAAGTTGGGTTGGAGATTAGGAAGAACTTTTTCACTGTCTATCCCTGGAAATGTCTAAGAGCAGGTTAGACACTTGACTTGGGTGTTTTAGTCAGGGATGATCCTGCCTTGAGCAGGGGGTTAGACCAGCTGACCTCCTGAAGTCCCTTCCAGTCTTATTTCCTATAGATATATATTCACTCTTGTAACCTTATTTGGTGTTGCTCAAGGAACTTTAAAAAATAGATGGACATTCAGCTGGGGTCCCAGATGCACGCTTACTTTAAGCTTCTGGGTGCCTGTGGAAGTGGCACCTAGGCAGTAAGGAGCTCCAGGCTCCACCACTTGTGTGTACCTGGTGGATACAGATGGGGAGCAGGGAGTTCCTGCTCCACAGCTGCACTGTGAAGGGCTCCCCTTCCTGGCAGTCACACAGTTGGGGTGTAAGGAATATTGTGGCCCCATTCCCAGAATTGTGCAACCTGCCATGCAAGTTGGGCATGGCAGGTCATGCAATTTGAGGAATGGGGCATAAAGTTTCTCAAACCCCAGTTTCTTAAATGCCTTAACGTCTGCCAGCAGCCACAAAGCAGCTTCACAGAGAATGGTTTTACTTGTTAATTCCTTAGGTTTGCTGCTTCTCTATTGCATGTATACAGGCCCTGGTAGGTGGGGGAAGAGGGTTGTGAAAGTTACATTGACGTGTTCCAAGCCTACCACTTTTTTCCCCTTCTCCCCATATTCATGGCCACCTGGGCCACATCCACAAGAGAGTGGACATTTGGTTCTCCAGGGACAACTAGCAGCAGCATACCTTTTGCCGCCACTAGTTGTGCCTGGGGAATGCCTGTGCCACGCATCTTTTGAGGTTGCAGTGGTGGCGATCCTGCCACTCAGAGCCTGGCTGACTACTGGAGTGTGACTCCAGTTTTGAGTGGCACCTGCTGCCCCTGTGTATGCTGCTCTGCTATTTTTTTTTTATTTTTTATTTTTTTAACCCCTGGATAAACCCCATGCTGCTTTCTTGTACTGCAGAGAACAGCTGAATGTGCGGTATTTCTGCAGTGCCACATACTTCATGGCCACACTCATCTGGATGCAGCCCTGCTGTCTATTCATTTCCTTCTTACATTTCCTGCTGCCATGTTAGTATGTAGGTCTGACAGTGTAGATACATGTAGCAAACCAAACCTGAGTAGCCGCAAAGTGCTATGAATCACAAGAAATAAATGAAAGAGGTATATCCAAATAGAAGTCTACAGCAAAACTGACAAGAGCCCCTCAAATTCTAAGGGTAGCAGCAGTGGCCAGGGATGTAAGCCAGTCCCCAGACCTAGGGATCACATGCTCACTGTCCTTTTTTGTTTTCAGTCAGTTGCTAAATAAGCAGTAATCAGAGACTGGCCCTAGCATTTTCATTTGAAACCACTTTAATGACAGAAGTAATAAATTTGAGAGTTGGGGCTTGAGAATTGTGCAAGAAGGAACCTCCAGAGAAGCAGGATTCCAAGTGATCAGTTTTCCTTTCCTTCCACCAACCTCTCCCTGTTGTAGCACTCTGAAGGCCTGCTCCCTCAGCTTTCAAGAAGCTCTGTTCCCTCTCAGCCTTTAGGGAGAGGGCCTTGAGGATCAGAATTACTTTCAGCAGAAGTACACAAGTTTCAGATGGAGATGTGGTTGTCAAGGTCCCTGTCCCCTTTCATTTTGTCCCTCCGATGTTATTTCACATGTAGATTCCATTACTGCAGCCTTTACAGAATCAATGTTGTTTCCTTTCGCTGGTTTCTTTTGCAAAAATGTACAGCTGGGACAGCATCTGTTAATCCATTCATCCCAGAGTGCTTTTTGTTTGCCTTTTGTCTGCAGTAATGGGGAAAGCAGAAGGCTCTGTAGCCAGGGAGGAGTGGCATGGACATGTTACTGCTCTCTCTGTTGCACCTGAATTTCGCCGGCTGGGTTTGGCTGCTAAATTGATGGAGCTCCTAGAAGAGATTTCAGAAAGGTGAGCCCCGTGTGCACGTTCTATGTCAGCTTTTCTTCAGCTGCTCTGGTCTTAGCCACTTAAGTATGGTCCAGGCAATTGACTTATCTCTTTAAATGAGTGGAAAATTGAGCAGACACTCACTAAACAAGTGGTATTTTGGTTCATGGAAATACCCTGTGGTTACAGAGGGTAGGTTTAGAAGATAGTTAGCAATTTTAAGGTATTTTCTGGCTGCTGTGAATGCTTATTTGTGGGGACCAGAGTGAAGCAACTTATGTTGTAGTCGGAACATCTCCTCTACATACAAAAGATTTTCTTCACAATACATCAGTGCTGTTTCCTAGAGTGCCTGTAGTACACTACATGCTTTTCAGACAGAAAACTGTCCTGTCTCAAAGAGCAGGACAGTGGGGAAGGGAAGCTGTGAAGTGTTCTAGCAGGAATTGGGAGGCAGGAGGGACAAGGGTGGGGATTAGTACTCAGCCTAAGAAGAAAAGGGGCAGCCTAATGACTTATTAATTAAGCAGTTAGCTGCTTGTTCACAAGCTCCCTTCCTTCCAAAGTAGGGCTTCATCTGAGCTGTGTTGTATGGCAGGACTTGCCACTGCTTCTCCCCTCTCACAAAGGCTTCTGGAATGGTTCCAACAGCCACCCTGCCTGAGCTGCTGTGTTATTAATTAACCATTTAACCAATATAATTAGAGGAGGTTAAATGGATACTTGGAAAAATGGTATTTCCATCTCTAGATACCATGTGATTTTGCATTTTAATTCTCTACAAAGAAATCAAAAGACCTTATTCAGACTGGGATAAATTTACATGATATGATGGAAGAGCTAAAGCCAATATAATTTCTAAGAACTGGGTCAGCCATAGAAATAGAGAACTTTCCATCATAATTACTTACAGATATGATTAAGGGCTAGTTCTAATGTACAAGGCTTTCTCTTTTCTTCTTAAATGGATAGGAGCTAGTGGCAGAAGATATTCATGTAGATTTTTAAATGGATGTGTAAAATCTATCCTTTCCCCCTTTTCTCTGAACTCTGGGCATGTGGTTAAAATTCTGTCTTGTGTAATAGAAAATAAATGCATTTGGTCGTAATATAACATAGATTTCATAGACATTAGGGCTGGAAGGGACCTCCGAAGATCTTCGAGTTCAGCCCCCTGCCCAAGGGGTAGGAAGTCAGCTGGGGTCATAGGATGCCAGCAAGAGAAAGTAGTGAAAGAATCATTAAAGTAGTGAAAGAATGCCTTTCTATCGTTAGAAGTTAGGGGATGTATTAGTTTGCACATCATCTTTTGAGGAAGCTTCTCTAGTTTCACCAGTGATTTCTAAAAGTATGTTATGCCTTTCTTCATTTGATTTTTTTTTTTTGTTTTTGTTTTTCCTTTCCAAAGAAAGGGTGGCTTTTTTGTGGATCTCTTTGTGAGAGTCTCAAATCAGGTGGCTGTAAATATGTACAAGCAACTAGGCTACAGTGTGTACCGTACTGTGCTAGAGTACTACTCTGCTAGCAATGGCGAGCCTGATGAAGATGCTTATGGTAAGTACTTTGCTCCTTAGAGCAAATCAGCCTGTAGTTCAGGAGGAAAGCTCCAACTTAGGCTTTTGGAGGGTTTTTGGTTTGGTTGGTTTGATTTATTTGTTTTTTAAATATGATGTCACTTCAGTCAACGATTTATAAGTGAAATTAGTATTACTTGAATCACAGATTTTAGTTCTTCAACATCTCATGTATATTTGGTGGCACAGTGGAACCCAGATTCTTCACAGCATTAGGTTCCCAATCCCCTGTGAAGATGAGGGCTTGTGAATCAACTGAGGATATGTCTAGCTGCAGCAAACAGCTATGCGGGTCCTCTGAGATACTCCAGGTCTTTGAAATAAAAGCCACAGCAGAGGGTGCTGCTTCTCTGATCAGCTGCTTGAGACACTGCTAACCTCCAGCTGAGTAGAGAAGTGGTTTCCTTTAAAGTAAAATCTGTAGCCAGTATTTGCATGGCTTGTCCTTCTTTCAGCAGCGAGCTGCAAATTAACGTGGTTGTGAACCACCCAGTTATGAATGATCCAGGTTCTACTGTGGAAGTCATTTTTAGTAGTTATAGATTTACAGTGCAGTTATACTGGCCGACTGCTTTGGAGTGCCTTCTCTAACTAAGGTTCAAGGGCAGGGCCTGCTCTAATCCCTTACCTATGCATCCCTTCCTTTAGCAAATTACTTCTGAACTGAATTTTTTAATTCTTTGCTACACCCCAAAAGTGAATTTATTTTATAAACAGCAGGAAAATTGATAGTTGGGAGCTGTGGCATGAGCTTTTGCTTGAGTTGAGGGGAGGAAGGAGCAGGCCTCTGGGTAGCAGATGCTTTGAAACATCCTGATATCAGAGTTATAACTATTTGAAGTCAACAAAGATGAACATGAGCTTTACAACTTATTTATGCCTTTATTGCATTCTGCTGCTGGTGCTTACAGGCCCCTTACACCGTGGAATGATAGACCTTTTATTTTAATGTAGAGGAAATTTAAAAGCTAGCTATATCAGGTACTTGTCTTGAAATTTTGGATATTAAAGGTTGCTTCCGTAATGCTCACTTGGCCATGCACGAGGTATTTTCTGTCCTGCTTTGTTGCATATAAATAAATAAAAGCACTGATGTATTAAAGTACACCATATGCTCTGTAGGATGTGGCATTAGTATCCTGGAAGCAGGCTTACCAGATGCTTATTTCAATGGTTATGTTGCAATAATGAGATTTTTTGCCTTTGCTCCCATTTTATTTGTAGCCGGCTTATACTGAAACTTTTTTGTATGAAAGATTACCTTGTTTATCATAATCTACACAGGAAACTTACTTCATATTGGTTTAATATTGTCTTTGCCGTTATAGTAACATTTAGTTGTTTGTCAACAGATATGAGGAAAGCTCTTTCCAGAGATACAGAGAAGAAATCGATTATACCACTACCTCATCCTGTGAGACCCGAAGATATTGAATAACCATACGCTGTGGTTCTCAGGTAGTTTACCAAAAATAACATGAACAAATTTAAGGATTTTAGAGAGCACTTTTTAAAGATAACTGAAAGCTCTATAGTGAGAAGAAAGAATGGACAAACTGGATAAATAAGGCTCAAAGTTTTATCTTCCATGAAGCCCCCAGAGAAACGATAAGTTTGCTTACACTGTTTATATTTCAACTTCCCATTGTTATTTATAAAAAAAGCAAATGGATTTAAACATTCCACCATCATGTTTTATACTAATCAGTCCCACAGATGGGAATTGTCAGTACTTTCACCTCCTGGGCCTGAGAATCACAGCTTCAATGTTTTTGTACTTGTTTGAATAATAGCTTTAAAGTAAGATCTGAAAAACATGAAAAGTAAAATAAAATGCAGGTTTATTGTGTGACTCTGGTGTTTAAAATGATTCCATGGGTTTTTCTCACACTAGTTATTCTTATGTCAGGTTCCCATTGCTGCCTTTTTATAACTAGTTTTCAAGTTTGAAATTTCGGCTGAACTGATATATTGCACTTCAACAACACTCATTGCTCTTGCTCTTGGAATCTTGAATAAAGGTAGCAGTACTGGTGAAAGGGATCAAACTGTACCTGTAAACTTGCAGCAGAGGTGCTCAACCTCTGTCCAGTGGGCCAGATCCAGCCCGCAAGGCCATGTCATCTGGCCCACAGATCTGAAAATATCATGGCAGGGAAGTGGTGGCAGCATTAATTCCAGCTGCCAAATTTTCAGACCCATAGGGAGTCTTGTGGGGTGAATGATGTGGCCCTGCATGCTGTATCATGCTCAGACACAGGACTGGGTTGTACCCATGAACTGACCCCATGTGCTGAATCTGGCCTGTGAGCTGACTCACACCACTCTAGCAGCTCACTGGGCCAGAAGGTTGAGCATTGATTTAGAGCATCATTGGAAGTAACTCAACAATGTTCTGAAGTATTGAGTATATGAACACCTGCTGTGTAGGGAAGGGAGGAAACAGGAGCTGAGAAGCAGCAGCTAATCTGTGCTAGAACAATAGGAATGAGTGCTTCTGGAAATTAGTCTTACTGCAGTCTCTTATTTTAAGATAGAAAACAGGGATTCTGCTTCCACAGTTGAAACGTCAGCTTTCCCATGACACAAGCTGTTTGTATAACCTCTTTAATAACCTGCTGCTATTGAGCCAGGGATGAAGGGTTCTTCCAGCTAGAATGAAAAGCACTTAGATGTACGCCGAAGGCCTTTTTACTCTAAGAGTGCTGAAGAGAGGCAAAGAAAGATCAGTAGCTCTTCTCTCTATTCCAGGCTGCCCCCCACAAACATTACCATGAAATTGTAATGGATAGTAGTCAGTTTGAGGCCACAGTACGTGTCTAAGAGGTAATGCATCCAAATGTTCAGGGCCATCCCTGGGCGGGGGGGGGGGGGGGGAAATCAGGGCGATTGCCCTGGGCCCCATGCTTTGCAAAGGGTGGGGGGCTAAGAAGAAAACGGACAGCCTAATGACTTATCAGGGTGGGGGGTGCAGACAGTGCTGTACAGGCCCTGCCACGCAGTGCCGGCTCTGTGCTCCGGCTGCTCACCAGCTCAGCCCTGCACACCCCTAGGGATGGCTCTGCAAATACTACTACTGTTTTCAATTCTAAATAGATTCAAACAGCAGCCTGGTGAGGGCACTGAAGACCTCTGCATATAAACATGAGGGGAACTGAAGTGCTACAATCCCATGTCACATAATAAAGTCTTCCATTGACCAAGTCGTGTAGTGTAGTAAAATCTATGTATAGGTGCCTGAGAGACTGGTCTTCACTAAGTGAAAAGATGATGCTGAGTGATCTTGAAGCCAGGTTTTGGAGTCTAGCATAGATGCATTTGACTGCATTGATTCTCAGTGATGATGCTATGACAGCCTTTAAAGTTTTGTAATTTCATAGTAGCTAGGGTCAAGCAGGACCTGAACATTCACAGGCAGGAATGAATGTTGGGTTCACAAGACCTCAGACAGGTGATCATCTAACCTCTTTTTGAATTTGCCCAAGGTAGGGGCAAGGACCACATCCCTGGGAAGTTGGTTCCAGATTTTGGCCACCCTAACTGTAAAATATTGCCCCCTGATCTCTAACCTAAACCTGTTCTCCATCAGCTTATTACCATTGTTCCTTATCACCCCAGGTGGTGCTGGGGAGAAAAGGGCTCTACCTATTTGCTGATGATCTCCCCTGATGAGTTTGTAGGCAGCCACCAGGTCCCCCCTCAGCCTTCGCTTGCTGAGGCTGAACAGGTTCAGGTCCCTCAGTCTCTCCTCGTAGGGCCTGTCCTGCTGCCCTCTAACCAAGCAGGTGGCCCTCCTCTGAACCCTCTCCAGGCTGACCACATCCCTTTTGAAGTGTGGCGACCAGTGCTGAACGCAGTACTCCAACTGCGGCTTGACCGGTCACATAGAGGGGGAGTATCACCTCTCTGGACCAGCTTGAGATGCACCTTTGGATGCGTGACAAGGTATGGCTGGCCTTGCTGGCTGCAGTCTGGCATTGGCAGCTCATGTTCATCTTGGAGTCAATAATGACTCCAAGATTCCTTTCCACCTCTGTGCTTTCAAGAGGGGAACTCCCCAGCTTGTATGTATGCTGTGGATTCCTTCTCCCAAGGTGCAGCACCCTGCATTTGTCTATGTTGAACCCCATCCTATTCTCATCTGCCCACTTTTGTAGTTTGTCTAAATCTACTTGCAGCTTCTCTCTCAAGTGCGTGCGTCTACCTCGCCCCACATCTTGGTGTCATCAGCAAACTTGGGCAGCGTGCTTTCCACCCCCTCATCCAAGTTACTGATGAAGATGTTAAAACAGTGTGGGCCCAAGGACCGAGCCCTGGGGTGCTACCAGAAGAAGTTAACAAATAAGCACAGGCTCAGCCAAAGAGGGAAGAGCCTGACTTACTTTCCAGTCGCTCCTCCCCCACACGCACCACAGTACTAGTTGCTTCTCCTTCCTAGGCCCTTTGAACAAGTAAGCACTATAATAACTAATTGGGGTACCACTCAAGTTATAGAGGGGTGCCTCATTTCTAAAAAGGTTGAGAACCATTGGGTTAATACAGCAGTTATTTCTAGGCTCTTGAAGCGCTTTACAAAGGATGCTGCAGAACCATAACCATATATGCATATCACTATGTAATGAAAATATTTAAAAATCTTTGTGGTACTGTGGGCATTCATTCTTCAGCAGATTGGGGTTGTTGTGCCTTCTTCTGTAGGATAGGATGTGATCCACCCCTTAGGCTCACTCAGAGTATTTTATTTAAGAACTTCTCTGCCACAGCAGCTGCCAAGGCAGGGGGGTGCGCTTATTCTTGCTTCGTATGACCTATTGTAGGATTTTTATTGAGTATCTGTCGTGTATGAAGGGGATCAAAGTAGATGTTCTGGTGGACATTTTTTGGACAAATACTTGTCTAGGAACACACACAACTGGAATTGCTCCCTCAGGAGGAGCATAGGTTGGAAAAGGACCTACTGTGGAAGTGTGGAACTCATTGTTACAAACTTAAGGAAGTATGCAGGTTAAACTGAATTGGATACATAAACAACTGTTACAATGTTTTTCTATTACTTTTATTCAGCCCATCACTGATGAAATAACTATACAAAAATGCAAAAGGAGTGAGGTGAGGGTTCAAATGGAAGAAGTGTTAGGAATTGCTTTCATCAATGTCTTTGTCTGGATCTACCTCTTCAGCTTCAATTTCTTGTTGCTGCTTCTTCCAAAGTTTAGCCATAGCAAGCAACTTGAGGTTGGGCTGGTTGGCAGCATCTTCTGGAAAGATGTAATCATAGTACTCTTCCCAGCCAGCATCAGACTAGAAAAAGAAAGCACAGATTAAGCTTACTCTGAGGATCTGCTTAGTGCCAATGTTTTGGTAGACTGAATATTAGTGCAAGTTCCTAGGATGCTAGGAGCTAAATCAGAATCAAGGTTATTCACTGGCAGAGCAGGTGTTGGTAATGTTTTTCGGCAGTGGGCAGGGATGACCCAGCTCTGCCAACTCAAAGCATCCGCTGCCTGGCTGAGGCATGTGTAAAGTCCCCCAACTTTGCAGACTAGATTTGACCCACGAGCTGTAGGTTGCCAGCTCCTGCCTTAGAGAACCATGGAATGCTAAAACTAGGGATTCAGAGGGGCAGGGTCCACTGCCAATTAATAAGCATACCTCAACAGATAACAAACAAAGACTATTCTGAGTGGCTGGAATATGATTTCCCAAACATACAGCTAAGAAATGACCCCACACATACTGTCCAACTAAACCCACATCACTAATGGTCTCTGCCACAGCTTTGATTCTTACCCCATCTTCAGCCTGAATTTTTCTTCTCTTCTTCACTTTTTCTGGCATGAGTTTATCTACTCTCTCCTTAGTGGAATCTGTTCCACACTCCTCTTCAAAGCTTTTCCAGGATTCCAGGAGCATAAGCCTCTCTTCCTTCTCTTCACAGTTCCGCATTGCCTTATTAGCCTCTTCATAGACCTGTCTGCATCTTGACAGGCTGTCATCCTTCCCTGCAGACAGCTCATCCTTTCCTGCAGACAGCTCAAACTGGGCAAAACTGATCCATACCTGGGGGAAATGTAAGTTGATATTTCATTCTAAAGTCCTAACACAATGCAGAGTACATAGTAAGCGAAAATAAAGTAAGAGTTGTGACTAAATAGAAAGCAAATACAGAAACCACAGTTTTTGTAAATAATCACAAGGAAGAATTCAAGTCATGTTATCAGTGTAAGATCTGATGAAGTCCATGTTAGTTCCATTGAATATTCTGGTTTTCAAGTATTGTCAGAAGGAAAGTGCTGACGAAGATAAGTATTCTCAGTCATACGCTGAGTATCTTAATTCCACGGTGTATATGTGGATAGCAAAGTTTTCCTCAAACCCAGTCATGGATTTAGGGAATTGGAAGATGGGTGATCAGCAATTGCTCATTCCCTCTAGGGTCTCTTAACTCTAGTTTGAATTATGTGCCAGCTTCATCAGCTTAGCCACCAAGAACTAGCTTACCATTGCTGACTCATTCCTTGTAAACCACTGTGGCAAATATTCTTGGTTAGAATAACCCAAGGAGCCTAAAGTGAGTCCTAGTGTTTGCAAACTTTGGGCAGTTAAAAAGAGGCCAAGGCTTTTCAGAAGCAACCCTTGCTCTGGAGATCTCTCTCTCTTTTAAATGCAGAATGGTGGTTGTCAGGGTAACTTTTCAAATGTGGGAATCCCAGGAAGCTTGGTTCCCAAATAAATGCTGTCTCCTTACATCCTAGTAATACCCCATACTTTTGCAAAGTGATCTTTTCTTCACATAAAGGCTTTGCAGCTGTTTGTCATCTTTAAACAAGAGTAATTTAGCAGTGGCTAACA